ACACTTCATGAAGATTTAGATTGCGTTCAGAGTGATGATGATGATGAGGAAGAAAGAAGTTCCGTAGTTTTCAATGGAGACCTGCGCTGTGAACACGGTTTATAGTCATATCTATTTGTAATCTTATGTGAATAGATCATTAATACTGTGTAGAAGTGAAGCTACTGAAGGAATTATTTTACTCTTAATATCCAAAAGATAGATATAAGCATTCAGTGCAGGAACTATTATAAAAAATTGGGGTTTGTTCAAACCTATGAAGAATTAATTTTCTTTGTGAATTTATGGTTCGTCATCTTTGATCATATATTAGAGAACAGAATGAATGAGATTGTGCTTCAAGTAAATATTCATGAGGAATCGAGAAGTTTTTTAAATACTTTAGAAAAAGATATACTATTCTTTTGCCGTTTGGAAATTCATGTTGTTTACATATGTTTTTTATCAGGACTTTTGGATTATGAATGTTGGATGACAAACGAACGGCGTATTGTTGTTGATGAAAATGAATGGAAACAATTAACTGTTGAAATTTTTGAACCGGACCATTTATGGTGTGTTAGTGTAGATGAATTTCCTTGTTCCATTTGTAAATCGGGTTATTTGGTGAGTGATTTTTCATTGTGAAGTTAGTATGTGCATTAACCTATTGAAAAAATTCTTGAAAATTGGAGGAAGATTTTCAAACTTCTTTTGATTAAAATAATTTCAGAATATTTCGAAAGTGTTTTCTTCTCGATTTGTAGTCGAGGGGATAAATTTCTTTTTTTTCTTGTGATAAATCTTTTTCTGAAATTGAAGAATGAATGTAAAGAAAAGCAAAAAATATTTTGTTTTCATTTCAGTACAAAAAAGATGATTGGGAGGAAACCTTACGACGCATGAAGGAAATACGTTTGGCCATCGGTGAATTGATTCGTACGGCTGTGCGAAGGACAATAACAGTGAAACCATCGCCGCAAATTTATGAACGCGTTATTTGTCGAAATTTTTTGAAAAACATGATCTCACGGTTCAAGTAAGTATTCTAGCGAGTTTACTGTGGCAGAAATTTGAAGTGTTTCTGTTTGTCAGGTGAAAACATAGCATTATATGGCTGGACGATTTTAAAGAATCAGAATAAACAATTTATTGAAAATTTTGCTTTAATAAAGAATTTTCTGAATTTTTAAAAGTTACTTAAAATTATTTGTTTGTTATTTAGGAGCCGTGTGCGAAATCCAACTATCCCAACAATTTGTCAGGATTGTATGCTTTGTTCACAGCACAAAAAACCATGTGTATTAATTGATAACACGGAGGGTTTGGTATGTTCCAGTTCCCAACTTAGAATGATTAAATAATGCAAGAAGAACAATTAAGACTAGTATTTAGGCAAGGAGAGTAAGATTTTATCTTTTTTGCGAATATAATAAATTCAGTGATTTTTTTTTCTAAACGGATTGTTGAATCAAATGAGATGGTTTAGCAGCGCAGATCTTAAGTATCACCTACCACATGGTGTTTTGTCTCATTAGTATTACTACACTAACAACTATGATGTAGTTTTATGTCGGGATAAGCTCATATTTAGTCATTACTGGTAAACTGCTCTTTTCATTTTAATATTCACTTAAAGCATTTTTTCAGGCTGTTCCACTCACTTTAGAAGAATGGCAAAAAATCTTAGCAGCTATGCAAATTAATGATGATGATGTTATGCTCATTTGCCTTGACAACAAAGGTTTTTTTAACTGATTTTTGAAGTTAGGTGTAGGAAATTTATAATGCGAAATAAACCTTAACAATGTCTTACTTTATTATGATTGGGAATGCTAAAATAGTTTCATTGTTTATTGCACTATATCTCGTAATGCTGATAGCTTTTTAAGAAGTTCATGGAACATTTAACAGATTACTCAAAAAAATGCAGCGAAAGAATTTTAATTTCAGTACTGTTCTTTGTCTTTTCTGCTTTTATTGACTAATAAGATTTTTGATTCCCTTAAACTTTTCATTATTACCAAACTTCATTTTCATACAATTGGTTTCAATTTATTTAATATTTGAGGAGTATGTGAAATGTTCTGTGACGAGTGTTTTCGGCAGCAACAGTTGCAAGTTGAACATCAACGTTTCGTTTACGAAAATGGTGCTGAAATTTATGTGAAACTTGTGAGTCACCTATTTTTCTATGCTTCTGCAATTTGCATCTCTTACAGAAATTGCCAGCTAGCTCTACGATCCTATAACTTAGAATTACTTAGTGTCGGAGTTCTTTTTATTTTTAGATTTGAGTATTCAAATTTAATCTCTATTAGTCTCTTTTTATTTAATCTCTTTTCTCCCTCTTTTTATTTCATTCCCTTATATCCATCTCATATCTGTATTTTTGAAAGGAATTCATAATGTTCTCAAAACTTTATTTTATGAAAAATTTCTTTATAGAAAAATGACAAAAATGATGAGCCAATAAAAACAGCAAACGGTGATCTAATAGCACCATTCAGCGCTACTCCATCGCTGATTCGACCAGAGCGGCATGCAACAACAAGGCGTGCAGTGGCGAAATGTTCGATGGTCTTTAAAGTAATTTATTGTTTACATATCAAATATGTGAAGTCTTTACTTTTTTACCTATTTCATGTAATCACATGATTTTTTCATTTCTTTCCGGGGAGATTGGATTTCATTTTTGATTTACTGTTGATCTACGAGAGAAATTTGCAATTTGCAATTTCATTTGCAATTTCGCGACTGTGTGAATAGAAAAAATTCAAACCTTGTTCTGCCGTCATAGTTGGCCTTATTTTCTTCTAAAATATTTTTCCAATCTATTTTCTGAAGAAAGAGATAGGAATATTTGTTGACATCGTATTAAAGAATAAATCAATGGCTTTCTAATGATATTCGCTTTCAGATGACATCTCTGAATACCATTCATCAGTTAAAAATAAAAATTTATCAAAAAACGGGTCAATTACCAAACGATCAACTTATTTATATGAAGGAAAGACTTCTCAATGATTCGGTTTGATGATTATGTTTTGAAATTGAGAATTAATATATTGGATTAACTAGATTGTGGTATTTGGTTAACTGGATTCTTTATCGCATTTTAATTCTTCGTTTCGTTCTCATTTTGCTATTTAAATTTTTGTGATGTTTTCATGATCAAATATTGAGAGCCTAAGTTATCTCCTGAATCTGGAAATCATATTTACCTAGTATTTTTCTATAATTTTCAGGATACTCTAGAAGAAGCTAGAGTTGATCCACAAGAGCTTATTGAAACACCATTGACGTTGATTGTACAACAACCTACCGACATCCCAACTGAACCACGACAGTTAGAACGTGGTTTTGCGGACACTGCTTTGTCGCATAGCTGATAATTCATAGTTAATGAAGTAAGATAAAACTGATCTGTGAATCTGCAGTGGTATTCCCATTCTAATATTATTTTATTTACATAATTTCTATAGAAAACTTCGCCATTACTAATCATTCTCCTTCTCTACAATTTTCACTTGTCAACCAAAAGAAGCATAAAAATTCTTCCCACTTTTTGGTTTTGCGAATATTTTAATTTTTCATCTTTTTGCTTCTCTTATTATTCGAAATTAAGTTATGGATATTGATAGTTAATTCATATGTTGATATTTAAGTTTTCTAAATAAGAAAAATATATTTCTATGCAACCTTCGTTCATGTGATTGGGGCTTTTTATTAAGATCTTATACCATTTTCATGTGGTATGATAATATGCATCCCGTTGTATGCATTGATTTTATTCTAATATAGTATATATTGCTGTAAAGTAGGAAGACGTATTTTCTTTTTTCCATTTTATTTTAGGACAGTTTTATGTGTGAAACTTTACAGAGTTTACACGCATGGCGACTGATGTAGGAAATTTATAAGATCAGTTATTAATAAATTAAGATACTTTGATAATTGCGTTACTACAAGATATCAGGCATAATTGTACATCGGAAACTCGAATAGATTTATAATGCAGGTACTAAATTATGTTTATTAGGTTGTCAGTAGTTAAGGATATCTAGCTAGCATGTAGAAATATCTTTCTTTAATATACTTGCTTGATGTATTTTGTGCTTGCAGAGGTACTCGGCTACTATTGTTTACCTGTAAAAATGGTATTTAGGATGAATTTAAGAGTAACTGTAAAATAAAGACCTTTATGAATTATGTGATATTTAGTATGTATGTACGCGTGCTTATTCACTGTAGTGTAAATATTGTATGTCGTAAAGCATTTCAATTTTGATGTGACAAATTCAACTTACAAATGAACTTGTTTATTATACGTGAGAATTATCATATATTTCGTTTAATTCAAATTTAGAGTTTGAATTTTTGATAGAAATTCCTAAGTTATATCTGATTTCCAGGAGGAATAAGTCTGTTATCATTATTTTTGCAGTAATTCCACTTTTCATTTTCTAACTTTTATAATTGTGAAGTAATGTTTCCATTCTTATTTGTATCTCTGTTGTAAAGTCCTTCAAGCCGGTATTATTTCATTTAATTATTGATACTATTTAATAATATATTCGTATTTAATTTGCATTGATGGTTGTTGTTCGATGCTTCGATCTTTTTATCGCCCCAACATTTGTAAATAATTATAGTAGTAAATAAATTCTGCATTGATTATTTTTTGATGTGAAATATTTTTATAAATTAATTCTATTGTAAAATTATTTCTTAATGTCCATCGTTACTTCGCGGAATTTAGATGTTTATCGAGAGGATTTTGTTACGAAATATTAAGATATTATAATGTTGGAAAACTTAGGCTGTTATTCTTGTTATAGATGATAAAAATGGCCTTCCGGTAGGAAGTGTACTCATTTTCGTTTTGTAATTTTCTTATCATCAAATATGTATATAAAGTAAATCTCTGAATTACTATTCTCCTTTTTAGTAAATAAATGAGAATAAGGCTTGAAGCAAGTTGTTAATTGTACTGGATTTTCAAAATTAAATTAAGAATTATGCATCGACAACGCCTTCACATAGCGATTACATTGGTGAGGCGATTCAAATCAACGAAGGAAAGCATGGATGTTACATATTATATACCTCCGAAAACATTTCGTCCCGCATATTATCATCCGATGAAACCATTCGAACGTAAACCACCCGATCCATTCCCTCCATTTCCAGTAAGTGATGATTTGGTTTTTAGCCAATTGTATAATGGATTTACTGTATGAAATTTCAGCCACGTAACACCCAGGGTGTAAAAGGTTAATTGGTTTACTCATTTCTGCTCTCAAGAATTATTTTTTGTTTTTTTATTTTTATAGAATAAAGGAGATTCGAGTGGTATGGGACCACGTTTGTACGATTACCAGATAATGAGCGAACTTGTACGTAGTTTACCCAGTGCTTCGGAACGGATTGATTTTGTCAATCCATATGAACGTGAATTCACTTTACGTGAGAAACGTTTCCATCGGTACGTGGTTCATTTATTTCTTTGGTTTTTTTGGCAGAATAAATATTGAGTTTAGTAATTATTTAATGCATTTTAAAAATGAATGGAAGATATAAGAAATCGTCATCAATTTAGTACTTTTTTTTTGAAATAGTATTTTAGAATAAACATTTCATTAAAGTAGATGTTGTCTGTAGCATTTAGTTATATTTCAGACCATGGCAGGCGCAGTTGTTAAAAACGCGAAAAGCATGGAGAATACCATCGTTCCCAAACTATTTCGACCCATTAAGTTTTTATCAATATATCACCAAAACAAGATGTATAGAAGGATTAAATGAATGGTACGATGAACCTGCTTTAATTCTTGCAAGGGGTTCCGAGGTAATTTTAACTTTTATTGTCACTTTGTGTGAAGCAAGTGTTTCTTATTTTATATGCCTGTTTTTTTTCTTCTACTTTCATTTCTTTAATTTTCAGGATCGTTTAGGTGAAATGTTAAAATTGCATTTGGAATCATCGAATGTTGACAGCGAGCAAGAAAGGACTACGAGAATTTTGAGAAGTTTTCTGGATTTGTTGATTGAAAATACGATTCAAAGCGGGATGTATACTTGTTTAGCACATCAGAGGGTTTATTTTCTCATTCCAAACCACAATTAATATAAAAGATACAGACAGAATACCGGAATTTCTAGAATTTCAGTTTTGCTTTATAACAGAGTAAAATTTGACAAAATAAATAGTTCGTATGTGAATATTGACTGCTTTTTCTCTAAATTCAAATATTTGTACAGGCGCTTTGTAATTTGTTGCTGTTTTATTTATCAAATAAACCATGCTTAAGCTCTAAAAGTATTCGTTAAGTCAACATTTCAGATATCTCATACATCTCGATGCGAGTCATTCTGGATTCGTTGTGGATTTGATGCTCTTTACGAAAATATAGACCGATATAGACATCGAGGCGATAACAGGTAGAAAAATTGCATTTTATTGTTATGTATGATCAGATTTTTGAAACAAAAATGAGTGAAAAGCTCGACGAAATCTTTAGCAGCGCATTTTAAAATCATGAATATTAAAATTTCAAAATAGCGAAAACGTAATGAATTGTATAAAAACTTGAAATTTTAAACGTTAAAAATTTAAAGAGCAAAGCTTGGTGAACTTGCTTTCGTCATGAGAGATGAATTTGCAACACAGCTGCGAACAAAACATCCATTGAAGCCTGTAAGTTTGAAATCAATCAAAAATTACTAATTTTTTCAACACAGTTGATCAAGAAGAATATGGAAAAAAATTTTCGGTAATAGAATGAAACCTTGGCATTGGATGAATTGTTTTACTTGAACTTAAATTGGAAAATAGTTCTGATATCTGTAATATTCTACCAGATTGATTAGTTCATTAGTTTCAGAAATATTTCATTTTTCAGTTAATGTCATTTTGGGATAAGGAAGTTACGAAGCCGTTGTTCGATCCCACATTTAATATTAAAGATGAATTAATATATTCACCTGCTATGTTTGGAATGACAGCTGATGCAGATCCATTATGGCAGTGTCCGGGATATGAACCTGACTGTGGTAAATTTTGGAATTTTAATCCACTTTATTTTAATTTCTATAATGCTTTAATCTTTTTATGTTAGTAAACCGTTACAAAGGGGAGAATTTTCCATTACTATCCAAAAATTTCATTATTCTTTTTATTCAGATTCTTGGAGTGCTTATTTTTCATTTCAAGTGGAAAAATTTTTTCAAAAAATATAGTAAAAGTTTATACTTGATTTTGAATTTTCAAAATCTTAATATTCAAATAAATTTTTCAGGTGAAGAATACAAATATGGTCATATAGGATTTAAACAATTCAATGATTTGGATATTTATTGCAAAAGATGGAAAGTGAAAGGTAAGGAAGAGGAAACAGTTCGCAATGAATGTCTTCGAGCTTCTGCTGTTGTATCGCTCTTCTCTTGGCTAAATTCTCAGGCTCATGCATTGGGTATGTTTTTCTCCTTTTTGGTTTAATGTTCTTCTGAAACTTGGAAAATGTTTACTTTTCAATTGAGTGATTATTTAATAGCGTTACTAACTATCCTTGTATGATTTGATATATTTTAAATTATTAGAACTTCGCAAAAAACATCGGAAAATTTTATTCCAAACGAAGAAATTGTATTCAATGGAGGCATGTTATTGAAGAAGAGAATATCGTAGCCAAAATGGTAATTCAAGTGCTACAATTTTGATTTACAATTCTTTTTCAGGTTTCACACAATACAATGATATCGAATATCCGCTTGTATCGCAGTTAGTAATGTCCGATGGGAAGCAATTTTTCTTTGCTATAGCTCAACTGAACACTTTACTTATTAATGTTGATATTGAGGTATTTTTTTGAATATATATTTTTATTGACGTAAACTGTGCTGGTCACTTCACCTTAATAATCTTTTGTAAGGAATGATAGATTGAATTATGTTTCCATCTATTTTTTTTTTAAATTTTTTGTTCAAAAAAGTTTCATCACGCTTTTATTTTTTTTGCAGGGAATAATAAATAAACGTTCCAATTTATGCTATGTGGAAGGACCTGTAAATCTCTATGACCGATATGATCGCGATAAGGGTATATTTGAATTTGGTGAAATCAATACCGATAGAGAAGTAAGCAGTTTTAATCCACACGTACTCGGTCGCATGATGCAAATGCTTGTGAGGGATATGCCATTAAAGACAGAAATGACGGGTGATTCGATAGAAATATCAAAATATATTCCTGTAACGTTTGATGGTATTCCATAATGTGTCGTTAATTTGCTGGAACATTCAATGAAATAAAATAGAATTTTTTACTGGAAATTTTGGCTGACTTATTGTTGAATGTCGGAGAATTCTGAGTTAGAACAGTTTGTTAATGTTGTGGTTGTGTTCTAGGATCATTCTTATTCTAGTTTCATGAAGTTTCAGAGCCAATAGATGTTTTGAATCTCGCATTATAAAAATCCATAAACAGATTTTTCTGGAGAAAAATATTTAGTTTTTCAACATAGCTATATCTCAGATAATCGCAAACATTAATGGTTGTCATTGAGCAGAAATATTAGTTTATTAAAGGAAAAAGAATAATTTTGATCTACTATTTACGTATAAATATCTAAGAATTAAACGTAAATGGATTAAGCTATGTCAGAGAAGCATGATATTCCAGTGGCGCTTCGAAATTTCATCATATATGTCTACATCATTCTTTATTACCCATGATCTAATCAATACGGCATTTACAATTGTTTACACGTAAATTTTTGCCAATGACTAATTTTAGACAACAAATAGGAATATATATTTTTTCTTCAAATAATAATCCTGCAAATAATGCTACGGTTTAGATTTTAACAATTCAGACACATAAAAGGAACATCTCAATTTAACATTTCCAAATATCCTTGCTTTATTTAGCACTCTACTCATCCGGCTAGTCGTGAAAGTGTAGAAAGGTAAGCTCGTCAGTTCCTTTGTTTTTGAGATAGGATTAACAAGGATTTAATCCCTGACCCTTATTCGGAATAGAAACATAGAATTGGCATTAGATATTTTCCATAGTTTTTGGCATCATCTTTTACTAAGACTTGTATAAACGTGACAGTGATAGTTATATTTTAGTATATGAAAGCTTCGTTATTTTGGCTCAGGTATCTATGGTTATTTTAACAAAATGATGCCGAGGATATGGCTATGACGAAGCACCACTTTATTTTCATAATAATGACTATAGTTATATCTTATAGTAATATGGACGTAACATCTCATTGTCGCATCAGCCTTCTGTGTCGCATTTTGCGAAGGTAAAGAATTTGGCGAATATATTCGTTCGAAAATACTGTCGCCAGATATTATCAATGATCACATACCAGAATGGAGAAGGTAAAATCGTAGTTGAAAAAAAAAGATTGAATCTTTGCTTGATTCAGCATCATCTATTGTTCTAGAGGATAGAATACAATTAATATTAATGTGCATGTTGCGTTTGAGTGTTGTGTTTGAAAGAGACAAATAACCAGTTTAACTATACGGACGTAAAAATCATTACAAAACATTGGAAACCTTAACAATTATTCCCAATACATGGTGAGATTACAAATCAATTATCTGCATTCCTATCACACCATGCGTCTTATTTCTTCGCCTCACTATCATCTTTATCTTCTTTCTGGAAATATTGAAATATACTTCTACATTCTATCATTTACCACTTATTGAAAGGCTGTGCAAAAATGTCGGATACAATTTACCTTTTCTCTGACCGCGGCAGCACTGTTGACCGCATCACGAACTTCCTGCGAATTCGGGTCTACGCCAGGTAAATCTGCCAGAAGTTGACGAAGTAATTCAGGATCACTTATCAGCTGACCAAGCTGGTCATCTTCGGTCTACAAAAATTGAAAAATTTAATGGCTAGGATAATGCAATCCTGATTGGAGAGGCGTGTGATTAAAAAAAGTAATTCCTTGAGAGATTAATGGATAATGGTTTTGGTCCAATAAAATTGTGTCTTGATAATTAATATGGAAGATATTAAGCACCATCAAAGAAATGGAAAAAGACAATGTAGCAAATCAATATATAATATGAAAGCATTTTAATTTTAACTATAAAAACTCAAACGGCATCCACTGTCAACTGGGTTTTATCAAGAGGGTGCAACCTTTTCAACAATCCCAATTCTAACACAAGTCTGCCATAGTGACCTTATAAAGCTTTCATGCATCACAGTCAATATATAAGTAGAGTCTATTGTAATTTGCTCGATTATCTGATAACTTGCTGTGGAACCTTCCTCTTGAATTTAACTTCATGTGGAATTACAGCATAAAACTGGATCAACACAGAATCCTAGAATTTTCCACTTTTTCTTCAAAGATTAATGATTTTAACGCAATATGCGAAACTATGCATGTAATGTGGGGTATTTTAAAATATGAAGAATCTTGAAAAAAGAAAGAAAAAAAACTACCATCATAGCATCCCGTGTAGAAACCGAATCATCAACCTCCATTGCTTCGGCAGTGCCGCTTTGATCCTCTTTCGGTGTAGTAGCAGTTTCCATTGCAGACACTTCAGTTGTTGGTAACTGACCAGATGTGGCCGTATTTGATGAAGGAGTGGTGGAACTAGCAGCACCTGTACCTTCTTGCATCGACATACGCAACGCCCATTCCAACTGCTGTTCTTCGGTCATCGCTCCAGGATCCATCGTCATAATGTCATCTTAAAGCACAAAATTTCACAAACAACTAAGCTGCACCAAAATTTGCGTTTAGAATTTAAAACAGATGACACATGTGCAACATATTTAGTTTTGCATATAACCTAGAACTGCTTACTTCCAGCAGTATTTGTTGGTTGCGGTTCAGCATCATCCGTTCCACCACCTCTTTGCCGTTGCCGCTGCTCTTCCAATGAGACGCGAAGTGCCTTAAATTATGAATCTTGCGAATGTCCGTAGAATCGGAAAGCTTTTTTTGCTTCTTTGTATGCTTTTAAGAAAGATTTTAACAACAGAAAATTGTGCTATCAAAATTAATCTGACAGTCCAACTTCAAACATTCATCAAATGATGCAAATTATACCAATGCTAAGTCAGGATCATCCTCCGGATCAACTCCAAACTCGAATCCGCCTCCGCTTGCAGCTACTACTGGCGCAGCCGTACCATCTTCTCCACGACATATTGGAGAAGATACTAATGCCTCCGTAAGTGATGAACTAGCCGGCACAACTACCAAGTTTGACCCACTTCCCTCTCTAAATAATAAGAATGAAAGAAAAAGCAAATATAATAAGAAAGAAAGTACTGCGTATTATATAGCTACAGACTGTTACAAAAGTCATAATTTTTGGTTCAACATTTGAAAGACAAAAAAATCTACATTCAATTTAAGAGTTGTATAAATTAATCAACTATCAGTAGTTTGTTGTATTAAAGCTCAGCCTTCCAATATACCAAAAATGTTTATTAGCTTGCTTCTATTAACATATCCTTTAGAACACGATGTAATTATTTAAGCCTGAGTCATTAGTGAAAAAAAAAATTCTTCATTTACTTTCCATTTAGCGTTTCGATAAACTGTCCCATAATTTCACTATCGGTTGAATCTGCTTCACCAAAGCATATGACATCTACTTGAACTTTCTCTTTCTTCAACTTCTTTGCAAGCTTTGTAAGCTGAAATATGTCGTTATATTTAAGTCAAAATTGTGCTATGTTTTTTACTAAGCTCAAAGCATGTTGAAAAGTGAAACGATTAGTAAGGTGAAGCAGAGATACTACGAAGATTTTACAATAGAATAGCGTATAACACTTCAAAAAAAGAACTGAGATTGAAAACATATAGAAATGAATAATAAATAAACCTCAGCAGAATTCAAATGATCAATTGGGCTACCAACAAAAACTACAATTCGCATTTTGTGGTTTCTGTTTTGACGATGTTTTAATGCCAAATGTGCTACTTTGATTGCATTGATAAAATTTGATGCACCCTGCAAGATAAAAAGTTTTATTATCGCTCTTGTCTTCATGGTTTCTAAGAATAAAAATCATTAGTATACACCATCAGGCAAACTATATGGATGAACTGAGCCCACTAAATGTATACATAATAATCATCAAAACTAATTCATGACAGCGCAAATATGTCAGTTTCCTTGCACTTTATTACAAGCTTATGTCAACCGATTTTGGTTTAGAGAAAAATTTCAGGAAATAATTGTATCGACTCTCTATATACCGCTGATATGATTTCATGAATGATATTGCGAAAAGTTAAAAAAAAAACCGATATCAAAGTTACATTCGTAATTGGAGATGTACTGCAACGATGCTATGTGATACTTATCTTACCAATATCATAGAAAATCGCAACGATAAGATCTCTTACTTTTGGTTCCACTTGATGAAGTTTCATAAACAGCTTCCCGTTCTCTTGTGTCAAGGTTGTTAGCACTTCTACAGTACTACAATTACGTATCTTTCACTTTTATTTTTTCTAAAGGCTGATACTGATGAATTAGCCGAGTATACAATATTGAGGATCAGAAAGATTTAAATATTCTAACTCATTTAGCATTTTAGTTAATAGCTGAAGCAAGACGTTTAGCACAGTAACAATATACAAAAAAGTTGAGCCCCAAATGTTAAGTCAAATTCATTATAGAAGTTAGCTATGCATCTTGGAGAGCAGGCTTTTACTTCTTAACTAACAATATCTTAGAAAATATATTACTTTCTAATTAACGATACTTCTGACAACAAGTGTTTACGTCTCAATTGAAATTAATTTTTCCAGCAAGACTTTATCCTTACCAAAACAGTTTTAAAACTTGCGATAAACTTGAAAAATGCTAAAAACATACTCAGCCATAGCAATTAATCCAACAGCGTTTTCCGGATTTGCACGAAGCTTACATTGCAACACCAAATTCACAGCATCTTGTTGACATTGCAAACGAGTTGGTGCAAAATCACCATTTCGCATCCATTCCGAATTATCAACACTGAAATATTACATATTTAAGCAACATGCTGTAATATATTAGACACATAATGTACAATATTTACTTTCTACTGCACACAGCAAAAGTTAAGACAACAACAACATGGCGAAAATATCTTCTACATCAAGAAAAAAACTAACTAGACGTTCTTACTATAAATTGTAAATTGCCCTCTTTAACAAGTTATACAGGATATAAAATGATCATACACACATACAAGGACCACAGAAATAAATAATGCAAAGAAA